CCCCCCCTCCCCCTCCAGTCCAAAGAGCAGTCAGGGTTCCCTGCCTTGTGGGAAGTCCAAGGTCCTCCTCCCTCCATCCAGGTCTAGGAAGGTGAGCATCCAAACTGACTAGGCTCCCGCAAACCCAGTACATGCAGTAGAATCAAAACCCAGTGCCACTGTCCCAGGCTTCTCAGTCAGCCCTCAAACAATGAGAGTTGTCTAGGACAGTTAGGACTGTCTCAAAAGCAAACAAACAAAAAAACCAATGACAACAAAAGTATGAGAAATTCCTTTAAATAATTAAACAGAATCACTTTATGATCCTGCAATTCTACTTTGAGGTATAAACTCAAAGACATAGGGCCAGTTAAGCCTAAGGACCTGGTTGGCTCAGGTTCAAGATTCCACTATAATACTAGTCCATGAGAACAATATCTACTTCTTTGTCATATACTAATAATATAATCCATTAAATTTTACTCTGATGTATCTTGAACATACAATTCAAATTTGTATGCCTAATTCTAAAAAGAAACCAATCAAATTAAATACATCTAATAAAATGTCTACAATAACACCAGAAAGAATGGAAAAGGAAATTAGAAATGCTTAGCCTAAATAAGAGTTGTCTGGTGGTGGAGAAACGGCAAAGACAACAGGATAGCAACAGAATAAGGCAGTGATCAGTATCACAGACTTATGAGTTAAATGTGCCTGCTTCTCCTTATTAATAGTATCACTTGAAATAAGTTACTTAACTTCTTGGTTTCACCTGTAAAATGAAAATAAAAGTAGGAGCTTGCTAAAAATAATTATAAGTAGTAATAAAAACATTTAAAATAGCACAGGGCACAGAATAAGAATAAACATAAATGTTTTTGCTTTTTACTAATCAATTTTCAAGTATTCGAATGTCTAAGGGGTATTGTGTGGCTGCAATCCATCATGACTGTAAATAGGCATGTTCATGGTTTTAAATGTGAGACAAACTGCTGCTTATGCTTTTAAGTTTAATAAACAAAAATAAACAGTTTCACTAAGGTTAGACCTCCTTCTGATTCCATTGCTCAGCCTCCTATACTATACAAGTAAAAGTACACTAATGGTATTTAAAGATACGAATTCTAGTCCTGGCATAAGCAGCAATGTGATCTGGAATAAGTCATATGAAGAAGTCAAAGAGAACAGTTTAGTTGGTGTTATCAAAGTTCCAAGACATGTTTTATTAACACAAACTTAACTTTCTCCCAAAAAATGAAGACTTAAATTTGTTCTTTAAAAAGTAGATAGCTAAATTAGAAGTTTTTGAAGCCAAATGTTAACCTGATCTCTTCTGTTGTTAGTTTTGAGACAGAGTTTTACTGTGTAGTCTTGGCTATCCAAGAAACTTGCTATATAGCCTAAGTTGGCCACAAATTCACAGAGATCCATCTGAATCCTTCTAAATGCTGGAACTAAAAGGCATGTGGCACCATACCTGGCTCTTGTCTTTTACAATTTAGAGTTACCTATGTGTGTGATTATAACTGAGCAAGATTTTATGGAGAAAGACAATGGGAAGTATGGCGAGCAGTGTTGATTGTAGAACCTGACCGCCTAGATTCTACAGTAGCTTGCTTGCTGAGGAAATGGACTGATTTTCAGAAGGAAACTAAGGACAAATCCTATCTGTGATTATATAGCATCTACTGTTTCACAGACTATGAACAATGATAACGACAGATTTATGACCTCACTGAAGGATGACACAGTCCCAAGACATCATTAAGCAGTAAGACTGAACAATGTTGGGTCATTCCAATATTATAAATTGTATCTATGAAAAAGCAAAAACCAACTATGGGGAACTTATTCTGGAAAACATATTTTATATAACTGCCCTACTTTCAAATATGGTAACTCATTTTGCTGACTATCAAAAAAGTGTGCTTTCTCTTTTTAATGATTCTTTTTAAATTTAGGCAATATTAAAGTCTATAGGGGACATCCCTCTCAGTTTTGACATTTTCCAAATAAAACTAACCTAGGTAGATTGTAACAAGTGAAAGAAAACAAAACTATGAAACCAACAAAAAAAGAGCAAAGCAAATTCTTCCAATATGTCTTTAATTCTACACTTTAAAACAACCAAACTACTATTATAAAACATTTTTATAAATTGTACCTCAAAATTACTATAAAAAGATACTAAAAACTTACCTCCAAGTATATTGATGGTGGATTATGTTCCCCACCAAATTTGTCCAATAGGGCCTCTATATGTTCCTGTGTCAATTTAATCATTTGCTTGATATTCCACACCTAAAAAAGTAAGTAAATAAAGGAATTTAAATATCAATTAGCACACGAATTAGAAATATTTTAATGGAGAAAAATAGAACACAGTAACTGTCACTATTCTCAATATTTTAGAGTTTAGAGTTTTATGATTATTAATGACTATCTTAACCCTTTTTTCTATACAAGTAATAAAGTCTCACATATGACAGATTCAAACAATACCTGCATGGTCAGAATAAACAATCAAAACTGGCCATTACTATATTAGGTAAAGAAGTCAGAAACAGAAATACAAATACAATACTTTCTATACTGTGGAACCTGTATTTAAAATTCTACACACATATATGTACATATACAAACAGAATAACTCACAAAAATCTACTTTCATCTTCCCCCCAAATTGGGGCCATCCAGAAAGCAAATGCTTCTTAGGGTTTATTAGTGTGATGGTTAATCTTCAGTGTGAGCTTGACTAGATTTTTATTATTTTTTTATAAAAGAATATATTGTGCACCATCACATAAGGTCTGGAGAATTTAGCCAAAATCAACTGTCTTACAATGTGCAAGCTGAATTGTTTGTTCTAAGATGAGAACAAATGAAAGGTCAGGGTACAAGGGGTCACTGAAATAGGGATTTCAGAATCACTTAGGAGACACACCTACACCTCTAGGAGTGTCTGTAAGGGCATTTACAAAGAACTTTAATGAAGAAAGAAAGACCTACTCTGAATATGGGCTGTTTCATTCCATGAAATGAGGTTGATGTCCCAAACAGAATAGAAAAGAGGGAGCAAACTGAGCACTAGCATTCATTTCTCTCTTTGCTTCCTACAGATGCAAGGTTGACTCATGCTCCCGATGCCTTGTATTCCTGTAACCACATCATCCTTCTCAATAGTCGTGTAAATATTCAATTAATGATTTAAAATCTTTTAATTACATTGATGCATGGCAAACTTCTATAAATGAATGAAGATTAAAATTAAAAATACAAATAAACTGGGCTGGTGAGATGGCTCAGTGGTTAAGAGCACTGACTGTTCTCCAGAGGACCAGGGTTCAATTCCCAGCACCCACATGGCAGCTCACAGCTGTCTGTAATTCCAGTTCCAGAGAATCTGACATTATTATACCAATGCACATGAAATAAAGTTAAATAAACTTTAAAAAAAAAAAAACAAATAAATGTTGTCATTGAAAGTCTGGTAGACACAGGTGCAGATGTAACAATAATTTTACCAGAATCTTGTCATCCAAATTGGCCTCTTCAGGAAGTAAGTATTTGGCTTTTAGGGATTGGAACTTTATCTTAGGTAAAACAGAGTAAGAGATGGGCTAAATGCATAGGGCCAGAAGAACAGAGAGGAAAATTAAAGCCATATGGAGCTAACTTATCAATGAAATTTGTTACAGCAATGGAATACTCAGATTAACATCCCCCTATAATGGTATATTATTTGTTTTAATAAATAAAGCTTGGCTGAAGATCAGTGAAAAGCAGCCACACTAGTCAGACATACAGGCCAGGTGGTGGTGGTACACACCTTTAATCCCAGCACTAGAGATGAATATAAAACGGAAGGAGATAGGTCTCACTCTCAGTCTAAAACTGAGAATTAATGGAGACAAGATCGCCCATTTTCAGTTTGAGGTAGAGATAAGAGTCAGTGGTTAGCTGCTTTGCTTTTCTGATTTTCAGGTTGAACCCCAATTATCTGTCTCTGGGTTTTTATTACCTCATGCTACAATTGGCACCCAACATTTAGGGCAAAAATTCACACAAAAAAAGCCATTTGCCTGTGTAGCTTTACAGCCACCGCCATAGGCTGGAGTTACACATAGCTGGAGTCACTGCCCTAGTGGCAACATTTTTCTTTTTTCTCTCGTGGCGGGCTCTCCTTGAGCCCCCTTCTCGGGCTGCTGCCAAACTAGGTAGCTGCCTTGGAATCCAGTCAGGCTTTTACTGTTTTTTTTTTTTTTTTT